CCATCACAACAATCATAATCACCAATTGACTCCTTGCATCCCCTTTGGAAAGTCATTATTTCTCCTTTGCCCTAAGGATTTTTTTGCCTTTTTGCCATTTTCCAAGGTCTATATTTGTCGTCTGATATTCAGTATTCAGATGGCAATAGTGTGTTTTCCTTGCACAGATTCCATATCATCTCATTCCAATCAACCTAGCCTTCAGCAGAAATTCTCACGACAGCATGTTCCCATCAACCCGAAACCTTAGCCAATTTCTTTAACAACATGATGGTCAAGTCACCCAGATCCAAGAGGTTAGTAATGATAATAATAATGATAATTGATCATGAGCACAATCATAAGCATAATCATAATCACAACAACAGCAACAACAACAACTGTCATCATCAGCGAACACCTCAACATTTCAAATTTTTTCTGACCAACTTTAGCATAAAGACTTCCATTCTTATGCTTAAACTTATATCTAGTGAGCAGATCATTAAACCTTACTAACTGCTAGTACATAAATATAATGAACAGATAGTTACTGCAAACTCTAAATCTGCAAGTTATCCAAAGTAGTGGTGTAATGAGCCAAATTATCTTAAAATAATGGTGCTATATTACTCTACATAAAAAAATATAAGACAGTTACCAAAGATCTAGAAGCTATGATATATAAACCGGTGCAGTGTAGTTATAATTTGTGCAGATTCCCTAATCTTTAACTATTTTTATTTTCTTAACAGCATAACAGTGGTTATGAGTGCAGCAGAGTAAGTGCAGATTATGACTAGTTATTACGAAATAGTCTATCAAAGTAATATAGAGCACAGTTGCCCTTGTATTTTGATTTGCCTGTTTCTCCATATAAATGCTAAACATATTCTATAATAATTAACATTTAACGTCTATTTTCAAAATTGACTTCTAGCTCTGTATGTTAAATTAAACTTTAAGCAAATTTATAACAATTAACTATAAACATATACTATATAAATATATATATATAAAAATTATATATATTATCTTTCTATACATATGTTCATATATAATATATAATTTCTGTAAGATATACAATACAAGCCTGACAAGCTATTCAAATCTAAAGGCAATCAGTAATTCCCTCCTCTTTCTCACAACTGTTTGTTATTAGATATAACCAAAATATCTTTAACCCATTAACGCCGGTATATTTTGAAGCCGAAAATAAAAGATTCTAGGCGGCTATAAAACCGGCGGGCGGAGCTGCCCCTGACTATGTCTGCCCGCCGGCCGCAGCCCACTGCTGCATCGGAGCGCGAGCCCCGATACAGCGTCACACTGGCGGGACGCCCGGCAATGCTTATCTTTTTTGGTGTCTCATATGTGGGACACCTGTCGTTAGTGGGTTAAGTCATATAAATGAATTGTAAACCCTTTCCATCCCACATTCCTTCAGCTATTTCCCTTACTTGCATTCTCTCCATAAAAAGACTTTTCCTAATATAGAAAGCATCTATACAGTTCCTTATAGACACCTGGTAAAACACCTGATAAAAAACTGCCATACTATAAAAAAAACATGATATATTGATAAGGAAATGAAAATATAAGGGTCCTTGAAAAAATTAACATAATGCAACTGAAAACTGTCTAAAGGTTATCTAACCTAGGAGTGAATGACATTCTACACAAAGCTATGAGAAACAAGTTATTCATGTAAAAGACTTTTCTTATACCCAATTCAATTATTTTGTATTTTTGTTTAGTATAGTTTAGTAGCTTTGGAAATGGAAGATACTGCATGAACAATATTTATCTGAGTGTGCCTTCAAATTATAAAGGAAAAAAAGTTATTCAAATTTTCCCCATAATCCCCTTGCATCCACAATAATTTCTTTATCCATTTAGAATTCATGAAATATTTTTATTTGTCTAACATGATTTCATTTATCAGCTATACATTAGGTACTAATCCAGTAAAGAAAAAATGGTAATATTTACCCCTGTGAGTATAGAATGATGCTTCTTAAAAAAACTGATGGTTTACTTAGTCAAATAGAAACTTTTTAAGAACCAGACACAATACATTTGGGAGTTATACAATATCTGCATTTCAGCCTGTAAGCAGCAACTCTTCAAAAGAGCAGACTACTTTGAATTGTAATGTTTCAAGTGCCTCTTTCAGGAAAAGCAGTGAAACAATAATGATTAGATTCTTTTAGACATTTTCCAGCATGTTTCTCAACTTCCTTGATCCAATCCTGTGTTTGAAAGAAATGGCAAATTAAGAAATATGTAATCTCTGAGACTTATGATTTTAGTATTCAAACTACATGATAATAATGAACACGTTACTGCTTGCTTTCTATAAAAAGATTAATTCACCATTGCCAATAGTTGGGATACAAATATTCTTAGCTGATAAAAATAATCATAATAAAGGAATATATTAGTAGCATTTACAGCTGGTCCATCCCCCTTAAAATATTATAAATAAAAGGGTATTGAAAAAAACTAAATCCCACACAGAAAACAGGAAAGAAAATGTGAAGTTTAATTTTATAAAAAGTAATCTGGTACAGGCTGGTCCAATGGGCAAGCTTCACTCTGTTGGCATAAACAAGTAGAAGTAATATTACACTATTTCTGTCAAAGATTGCTTTTTCTTCTTTAACACTGTCTACACGGTTTTTCACAAGACTGATGTTAGTACATTGCTGGTACTGATGGTAAAAAGAAAAAAATAATGACAAATGTAGAATGGACAGGGGGAAGGCAGGAGAGGGAAGGAGAGCAGGGGCAAAGGCAAGGAGGAGAGTGGCCAGGGGAAGAAGTGATAGGTTGGGGGAGAGGGGCAAAAGATAGGAAGAAGAGAGAAAGGGAGGGGAAAAGTGAGAGAGAGAGAGAGAGAGAGAGAGGAGAGAGAGAGAGAGAGAGAGAGAGAGAGAGAAGAGAGAGGAGAGAGAGAGAGAAGAGAGAGAGGGGGGAATAGTGGAGAGGGGATAGGAGACAGGGGATAGCGGAGAGGAGATAGGGGACAGGGGATTGTGGAAATGGGAATAGGGGACGGGGATTGTGGAAATGGGAATAGGGGACGGGGATTGTGGAGAGGGAAGAGAGGAAAGGGGAGTGAAAGAGGGGGAAGAAAGGGCAAGAGGGGGAAGGGGAGGGATAGAAAATTAAGAAAGGGGAAGGGGAGGGATAGGGAGAGATAGAGGGGAAGGGGAGGGATAGGAGAGATAGAGGGGGAAGGGAGGGGATAGGGAGAGATAGAGGGGGAAGGGAGGGATAGGGAGAGATAGAGGGGGAAGGGGAGGGATAGGGAGAGATAGAGGGGAAGGGAGGTATAGGGAAAGAGAGAGCGGAAAGGGGGAAGGGGAGGAGAGGGGTAGGGTAAGAGGGGAAGGGGAGGGAGAGGGCAGAGTAAGTGGGATACAGAGAGAGGGAGCAGGCAGGGGAAATGGGAGAGAGGACAAAATAAAGAAATGAAAATATATATTAATATTATATAATAACATTTAATATCAAAGGAAAATGAGTTCAGGATGTAAAGATTATCAAATGAAGGAATAAGGGATTGAAACATGATACTACATCAATCACTTACAAATAATTTAACATCTTTCTAATAGCACCTCACGTATGACCCTCTTCTCTATAAATATCTCACTTTATCTTCTAAATTAAATACCTATTTAATAAAGTAAACATCTGAAGAACTTTAAAAGGCAGCAAGTGGTTCAATTAATTCTACTAGCCAATGACAACTAGAGTATGAGTGAAAGAGTTTCAATACCACAATCAAATATAAGAAAAGGAAGTTTAGAGTAACAGCTTATTAAAATTTTGCATTCAGTCTAAAAAAAAAATGCTTATAGATGAATACAAAAAGTAAAACAAAATTTCAAACATGGAAAAGAAAGCATATTAAAAGGAAAGACAGACAAAGAATTGAAAATACAACTAGGAAGGGATCTTGCAAGAACAGACTTTAAAGACTATGGGAAAAGACCAGCAAAGAGTATAACAAATACTTGGTTTACTTTCCCTTAAATATCAAAATCCCTTAGTGAACAGTCATGAAAAGGCTTCAATATAAAACTTCCTACTGATAATATAAAACCTGAGGGGAAGATGTAATTAAAGACTGCCTATCAAAATAGCACATTCACCCAAATGGGAGAGATGTATCCATGGACACTCCATGCAACTGTATGCTAAGCACCTGTATTCCAGCTGTGCATTTGACCTATAAAGCAGATCATTACAACGAAATGATGAAGACCCACATTCATCTATGCACCAACCAAGAAGGATTATATCTACAAGTTTTATCCCAGGGTCCACAGGGATAAAGGATTCATTAAAAAATCTCTCTCTTTATATTCCTGGATTAGATGGAGAGAGCCTGCATTAAATGGTAAAATAATTTAATTAATAACAGCCTGCATGAATGGTAAAACTGTCATTAATCACATTGGTGCCTGCATCAACAAGATAAAATCATTATCATGTATTAAGACAGGAGGTGATCTGATAGCATGACCTGTTCAAAAGGGGGTCAACATCCAGAAGTTGGGGTTAGTGTCCTGGAAGTTTTGCAGGTTGGAAATCTGCAATAAACTTTGCATAACTAAGAAAGGAGTACATGTGGGTGAGCCTTTGCAGAATTACCAAAACAGCAGACAGTGTGTTAAGCAACAACAGATTATATAAATTATCACTGAAGCATTGCAGTGTCTGCCTCCTGCTACATCATATTCTAAAAGACCCGACCATCTACCACAAAGTAAAAAATAAAAATATTATCTGTTGATCTCAACAACTGGCAGCAAAAATATATTACTACCAAATGAAGACAGCAAAATATAAAACATCCTTCTCGGAGCTTGTAAAACTTTAAATCTTAAGAGCAATAATAAAGTATAATGAAATAAACAAACTTTTACCCTGCTTCTCCTTAGTTTATGGAAGATTCATGGTTAAAACTAAATAGGATAAAATAAGGTTAACAATGAAAGAGTAAATCTGAATCATAAAGAAAACAAAACAAAAAGTATGCTCTGTATATATAAAAAGAATGTGTAGCATCTGTTGCTCTCATTAACAAAGAGCATCTAGAAACATCAGGCAAGTTATGTACATGCTGATATTGAGACTGAAGGGCTTATACTGAGGGAGACATAGTGCACATAATACCCATACTATTTTAACTCTACTTTGAGGAATCAAGTAATATCTTTGTTCTATAAATGGAAGAACTACAGGTCACCAAAGAATGACAACTGAATTCTTTCATGTTGTCCACCACATGATTCAATGTATTTTCAAGTGGATACAACCCTAGTCTCAAACCTATTTCATGCCACTCAAGAAGAAAAAGGTACATACCTGGACAATGTCTCCAACTAACTTAAGTTCCTACCTTCCCTGGTAACCCATCATATAGCCATCCATGAGCATGATAACATGCTAAACTAAGGGATGGCAAGTGTTATATAGGACACAAGAGACAGAAAGACCTGAAGGATACTTTAATAGGTACTGTGTGTAAAACCTGGTGCTGCCCAGCCTGACCCTGGCCCAGTGGTGTGGCCACGGGGTAACAGGAGACAGGGTGCCACAAGCCAATGGGGTGGCTCCAGTTCACCTGGACGGGAGTTAACTAGGAGAGAAGTGCCAACCTGTCTTCAGGATTAGGTGAGATGCCCAGATCGTTGGAGCGAAGACGGCGACTTAATTCTTCAATCTGCAGCTGCACTGTAATAGAGCGGGTTAGCGGGCAAAAATGCCCAAAATTCAATCAATACAGTGTACTTTAATATAACAAATGAGGAAGGATTTTCATGGTTAACTTTTCCTTCAAAAGTATGAGTAACAAGTCAACTGATACTGTCACCCATCGATGTCATTCATTGTTATTAAAACTAAATTACTAATTGCATCTCATGATTTGAAAGCTGAGTCTCGTTGCTTATACCTTTCAAATATAAATACTTTCTTTACTCTTGAATTAACCTGGAAATGAACACGATGGTAATACTTCAGGGAAAGAACTATTAATTAGTTAAGTTTGTTAGGCTGTAAACAAATATATTCATTATAACATTGAAAGTTAACTTACCCATGGCTACAATATTCATCATGGTTATCTCATCCACTCGCCACAATCAGAGATCCATCTGACTATCACATACACTCAAGACTTTCACACAATTGCAAACAAACTTAGATCACTCAGCAACAAAAACACATAAGGGTTTGGCTCATTTTGCAGAAGTGTAGAAGGCGCGAATGGTCTGATACCATCACCTCAGCATTTGCTTGAGTACTGTAGTTGGCAGCTGAGAGATCCTTTTCACACAGAAATATGGCTGCTCTAGATGAGGGCCTCTATGATCTCCATCATCCTCAGCTGATGCGACGCTGAACAGGAAGTTCCTGATGCTTTCCAAGTTGCAGAGACCTGTGCAACCACATCTGGCAAAAAATTGTTACCGCCAAAACCATCTGTAAAATCCCCTTTACTTTTCACTTTGGGGAACAAAGCGCAGTGACTTACGTAAATATGCTTCCTCCTGATCCTTGGACATATTGCTGGGGAGAACAGTTGGCATGCCTGGAATGAATGTTTTGTCCTTCTCATCTCCCTGCCAGCGTGATTTCCTTCTTCTTTTTCTCTCCTCCCGCTCACCTGGAAGGAAAAATCATGAAAAAATTAAAAGACTGTAAGGAAACAATCATTTGAAAAAATAAAGACTGTCCATAACACTGGTTGCCTTGTTAAACTGATAGCTACTGCTTTCATTCAAAACAGCTCCTTTTATTTTTATAGTCGATAACAATACAACTAGATAATTTTCCTCAAAATAATTTTTCAATCATGATAGCACTTCATTATACTCCACTAGCAACAGTACATTTTCAAGCTGAAAATAATGTTTTCTGGGCAGCCCGCCATAGGCAACAAAATCAGAGCACAAGCTCCAATCTAACGTCGAACTGGTGGGATGCATGGTAATATTTATTTTTCCAGGTGTCTTACTCGTTGTAAGTAGATTAAGAGATCCTTTACTTCTTAGTAAAAAGCTTTAATAGGCAACTATAACATCTCATGCTATCCCATTGTAAAATCTCTTGGCAATTGCATAAAATGCATATCTAGGGAAGCTACACTGGAAGCAAACATTATAATTTCTCATCCTTATCTTTTGTATTATAATCCACAGATATTTTTTCATTTTTCTTTTTTAATAAAATATAGAACTTGAACCTGAACACCACAGAAACTAAGCACCCATGCCAAGGTATTTTTTGCTATATCTAATGCTTAGTTTACTTGTTTTTATGTTTGCTTTCTTTTGTAATAGGTATATGGTTTATTTTTGGACCTTTCCAAACAATAATTTTGGGTAATACTGAAAAGAGGACCAAGTAGATATCTATAATATATTTTAAAAGGTAAATCAAGAATAATAAAAAATAAATAAACAAATAAATAAAGGCTATCAGTTTACAGATATCTCCTTGTAAAACAAGGACCACATGCACTTCCAGATTCTTTCAGTAGTCTTTGTCACAACACAGCTTTTGTTTTCACCAAACATCCACATATAACAGCTGTCACAGAATGAAAATCAATAAATTTTGGAGAACAAATATTTTGAACAAATACAAATTAATAGTTGATAATACTTATTCATGACAAAATAAATTATAAAAGTTTAAAACAGACTGCTTCCATCAGAGATTAAGTCACGCAACTAAAATTCACAGATACATGAACCCCATCCTAAATGCTCAAACTACACAAACATTGCTGCATGAACCAAAAACTTTCCTAACTCCCAGACCCCTGCCATCTGCCATACTTCCCTTGCTAATATATACTTCAACCTATAAAAATAGTGCGACATAAAAAAATTTGTTTGCCCTATGAAATTTAAATGCCCACTATGGGTATATTGTGTCAGCACAGTTTTCTAACCACTACAAGCCAGATGACGTGTCCATTGCATTATGAAATTGGGGTGACATGAACATGCTGTCATGGGAAAATATAGGTGACAAACTTTCCATCAAAAGAATTTCAGCTGAAGGCTCAGGTGACTGGAATGACTCGCCACACGTGCACAAATTTCTTATTTTATTGATAAACAAGTCTGAAATTAATCAAGGAAATTACTGGGTGAGAGAGGTTAAACAAGAATAATAAAACCAGCAGAAAAAAAAAAAATAATAATAATAATTGGCTAATGCAACTCTCTAGATGTGCCCACTATCTTTAAAAGTTTACAGACCTACGCACCAACTTTTGAAAAAACTCTACAGGATTTCAACCCATCATTAGAGACTTATTCTGTTCACACTATTTCCCTTTTGCCCTGTAATTTTCCTGGTGCCTTTAATGCCCTCCCCTGCTACTGAAACCAAGAATGAAGGGGGGTGGGGTGGGGAGCACACAAAAATTTCTCTATATTAGGATAGTACAGTATGAGAATAATCTACCAAAAAGAAAATCTTTGCGATCCGTTTGGCAGTACAAATCTGTAAAATCACCTCCATTTCTTCTTCGTTGCCACTGTATACTCTTCATATTCACAGAATCATCGCAACACAGAAAACAAAACATTTCTCACCAACTTTCTGTCATGGAATGGTCTCCATGAGCTGTCAAACATCAACAGTGGCAAAAATGCATATGTATAGATTATTGTAAATAGAGTATAAATAAATCTTAATTTAAATGAAGGACGCATACTTACAATAATAAAAGATATTAAAAGCATAAATGTGAAGAGCAGATAATGAACTGCTTGGCATATCTAAGAGTTATGCAGTCAATGTAGTATTTATCCTCACAATGTAAACAAGATGAGCAACTCAGACTGAGCGGCAATATTCAGTGGATATTTTCATCATTTAGCCTTAAATATGAGGCTGAATCAGCTGTAAAAATGTTTCTATATTATTTCATATGGTCTAAAAGATGGCGGTGTCCATTTCCCTCTATCATTTCACTCTAAGTAACTTATACCGATTCTTTGTTTGCTATTGTGTGGTTAACCAGCCATACTGTGAGGTCATAATATGTTTGGGTAATTGTTACCAAGAGCGACGCGCCCTCACAGACTTTTTTTTACAAGAAATCCAATGATTTTGAAGATTCTTGCAGTTTTTTTTTTTTTGCAAATGAATCGTTTCAAAGGGATCCAAGTAATACTTCTCCATAGACAATCTTAATTTGAAAGTTCCGATAGCATGGGAGGGCAAGAAGTATATCATGGAAATTACCGGGTAAACAGGCTCAAAAAATAGAATAAAAAAGTGTAAAACCAGCACAAAAAGTACTTAACATTGATTTATGAAACTCTACAGACATGCCTACTGTCTTCGAAATTCTATGGACTGCTGCGCCAAAAATTCTTAAAACTATGGGAATCTTGTAAAATCTATTGGAATTCACACCATCCAAGCCCCCCAGTAGTAATCGTAAACATCCTGACCAATAAACTAACCAGAACCTAACAATCTAAGTTGCCATGACTAGGCATGACCTTTTTATCGGCAAACAGCAATTCAATTAATTTAATAGCCAATCGGGAAACAAAGCACGTGGAAACAGCAAATGAATGAACATTAGCTGGTATTTGTTACAGAGAGCAACGCACCCTTCCAGAGACTGAATTTTTAATAATTGTTTTTCTGCAGGAAATCCAATGATTTCACCAATACTCAGCATTATTCCTTCTGCGAATGAATCATTCAAGGGATTGAGTACCATTTCCCCATCGATAAACTTGATCTGATAGTCCCTTTAGCAGGGGAGGGCATGAAGTATATCAGAAATTATTGGGTAAAACAGGCTTAAGAAGAATAGCAATAAAAAATGTGTGAAACTAGCACACAAAAAAGAAAAAAAAAAAGAAAATTGGCCAATTACTTTCTACGGATGTAATCGCCATCTTTGAATTTCTACAGGCTGAATTCAAAAACTCTTTGGGGACCCAATCCACTTTTCGGCAAAACTCTGGAAACTCACACTTTCCAAACCCCCCAAAAATTTATTGACCAATAAACCAGCCTAATACTTCAATTTAAGTTGCCGTGACTTGGTATGCCCTTCGGACACTACCCGAGGGGAGGGTTGATGGGGGCTCTGCCCCCCAACGTCCCCTAGGACACATTCTCTTCACCTTAGTATGTACAGCAAGATAGAGCTGCATTCACACTGTAAAATAATAAACCAAATATCAGCCTAATATATCAAGTTAAGTTGCCGTGACTAGGTATGCCCTTCGGACACTGCCCGAGGGAGGGTTGATGGGGGCTCCGCCCCCTAAAACGCTAAAACACATTCTCTTCATCTTAGTATGTACGACAAGATAGAGCTGCATTCACACTGTAAAATAATAAACCAAATACCTTTATATCCGGAAACGTTAAACTTTCGTTATTTCTTAGTACCGTCTAGCTTGCTTCAATATCAATCGCATTTATCATCATTTGGAGCTCTTGATGGACCCAGATATTAAACTGGGATGATTACTTAAGGGAAAGAGTCGTCGGTACGATCACGAAATTCGTTATCCGATCCTGCTTACTTTAGTTTTTTAGCTAGGTCAATAATTTTTTTACACAAAGTGCATGGGTATGTGATGCTTGTATACAAGAAATTTGATTAAAAAAGCTGCGTAAATTTTTGCGCAAAAAAAAAAAAAAAAAAAGAGAGATGATAGAATTCAAAATTATGTGATGGTTTCCTTATAGTGAATAGTACTGCAGTTTCCTTCTGACCAGAGTTAGTCAACAAATAGGAGTACCAAATGTAGCATTTATGTAAATCTATCTGAAACGACAATGTTTCAGTTACCTTGCAAAAAAGCGCCTTTTTTTCGTCGAAAATCGCCATTATTTTTTTCAGTAAAAAATGTATTTGGTGGAAATAATGCATGACTTTGCTACAGTTAGTAGATACGAACTGGACGATCATTTTGCAACAAGAATTATTAAAATCGCGTAATTACATACAAAGTTAACCTTACTATCATGCGTGAAAATATGATTTTGAGAAAATAGCAGTTTTTGTCATTCATCGTCATTACATCATAAAGGTCATACCAATGATTACCAAATGTGAATATCTACTTAGACAATTCCTTGGCCTTTAATATGAGTCCTGTGGTAGAGGGTCAGGCCTTGTTCAGGTAATTTTAGGTCATCTTTATGTCAAGGTTAGGTTAGGTTAGGTGGGAGTGTTCTCTGAAAAGTATACTTTCAGATGTCAAGGCTCCTGGTCCTCTGTCATTTACATATCATAGTACATAATAAATCGTATATTATGCATTTCTGATATATAAATGACATATTGTTAGGTTTTCAACAGGTTGAAAACAAAACATGTGTACTCCCGAAAACTTTATCAATCGCACTGTTCTCCCGTCCTTGCTGCTGCTGCCTGTCTGCTGAACGCAGCCTAAACTATCGTACAGCAGTATCATACCAAAGAAATTCGCAAAAACAGCCGAAAAAAAAAAATACAAGAAAAACAAAGCATGAAGCAAAAAGGGGTGTGGCAGCACGAGGGCATTTAAATACCCCAGACCTTTAAACCGCGGAAAGGAGCGCGTTACGCATCTGGCAACCGGCGCCCTGGGTGCGTCACATGGTCATGTATCCACACACAAGTTTGAAAAAAATAATTTGTGAACCGTACTGACGACTCTTCCCCTTAAGTCTAATTTTGCTTTGTTGCCACTGCATGTCTTAAAAATAACCCAGAATCAACATAACACTGGAAAAACAACATTTCTCACCAGCACTCTACCTCGAAATTAGTGCAGCCTGAGCTGTCATCCTGTCTGGTGAAAGAAAGTGTGAAACACTAGATGCGCACAATCCTGAACAAGGGTATAGATAAATCTTAAAATACGCAAATAAAGTATAATAACATTAATAAAAGACTTTGAAAGCATAAATGTGTAACAGCAGACACTGATATCCTTTTGACAAACGTAGTAACATACAAAATAGTTTGGACATCGCAGTAATGAGGTCAGGGGTCAGTGTTTTGTTATTTCTGGCAAGGTAAAGAAGTTGCTGGACTTAGAATTTGAGCGGCAACCACGCATTATATCTTTGTCATTTAGCAGTAAACTACTGCAACTTAAACTATGTTCTAGCCCACTCTATTTCTTACGCTCTATAAGATGGCGTGTCATCAACTTATACCCATTAACTAAAATAGAAGCTATGAAATTCAATATTAAAATTAGTTTCGCCATGGCCTCCATGTGTGCAGGTTGTCCTATCAAACCATACTAAGTTATGAAATATCAATTTGAAGATGACTAGTATTATTTGAAACTATTACATGAACACAGTGCTAACTTCTGAAGTGCTTTGCGACCAGCCATTGCTTGTGTTCACGTAGACCTCTCTGACGCTCCCACTCCTGCAAGGCCTCCGTTGATATCGACAACCCTCAACCCAGCCTCTCTGCATAGGTATGTAGAAAGGTATATTTTTAT